TTGTTCGTTTCTTATTTTTTTTTTCTTGAAACGAATGAAACATAATCCAGACAGAGTCATGTCTCATATTTGCAGACGATTGTTAAATAAAAAACAATATTCAATATGAATTCAACAGAAAAAAAGAAAGAAGAAAATGAAACAAAAAAGTGTGCATACGAAATGGAAGCAGGAACAAAAGTTAAATTGAAGAAAAACCATCAGTAATAAGAATGTCTGCTTGAAAAAGCTATTGTTCGTTCATCAATCCTACTGTATGATTTGAATATGGAGCATAGAGCAGAGGAAAAAACATCAACACTGAAACTGACTTAAGGATAATGAAATTAACGAAAGATATTTTAAATCCTTGTATAATTGAACTTTAGGATTCACTATTTATCTAGGAGAAGCTGCATCTATTATATGTGCATCCTCTCGACTTCTCCATAGCTTAAAGTATAATCTTTCTCTATTTTTTTCAAAGTATGATTATCTAGCAGTATTCACATGCAACAAAGTGTGTGGTATTTTCTTTAGAGATAGTATATCTTCAAACAGATTTCTCGAAGATAAGATCTTCTTTCCATTCCCATTTCATCTCAGCTGTTCATAAAACTTTTTTATCAACTCTAATCCAGAATCATCGAGGGATGTACACATTCAAAAGTTGATATAAGTTCCTTGGGCTAAACTCTATATGAGATAAGATGAATTCTTAGATCCTGCTATTGATTCTTATCATCTATTTTCCAGTTTAACATAAATATATAAGTGTGCGGAAAATTTTATTTTGAAATTCGCTAGTAATTCTGCGAGTTTTTTGAAACTATTTCTTAGAATTAATTCTAAACAAAATACTTTCGTACAAACCTTTTTGAGTATAGAAAATAACATATCATTAATAACATAGGAGTATGGATGCGGCTCTAGTGTGTGTGCGTGAGTGAGTAGGAATTGTATGAGTAAATAGAAACTAGCAATCATACAATACCTAGATGAGGATGTGAGCGTGGATATGAGTTTTCAGCTTTCTCACACTTTTACTTTCACTCATTTCCTAATTCATCTTAGCATCCATATACATATCCTGCACATTCAAACCTACATCGATCCTGCAATGTTAAGAACGGGACAGTGTAACACTGTTGAACTCTTGGGCCTCTTTGACATATGATTTGTAGGTTATTTTTACTAAACGAATTATGATTCGATATCTATTTTGCATCATTTCTTTTATTTTATTCTTCAAATACAAAAAATAGTCAACACATTGTTAGAGATCTATAGAACCATATAATCGAGCACTTTGGTTTAACTATCAAATCACTAATCACAAGACACTCACATATTTATAGAAGTTTCTGAAAAACAAGAATAAGAAGGACAATTTAATAAAAAGAAAGAAAGAAAGAAAGAAAGATGTTTTTCTAACTATGACAAATAGAAGAAATGAAAAAAAGATGAATGTCATTTTTCAAACCACAGATAAAGTACAAAGACAATTAATGCAACAGCAATTGTAATACCACTATAAAGAAATGTTCCATTATCTAAACGAAAAAAAAATTTAGTCAAAAAAAAAAAAAACTATTATGAAATTATATTTACTTTTAACAGGAACATCAAGTTTTTCATTATTATTTGATAATTTTTTATTTTCTGATTGATTAATAAATGTACTTTTTTTTGGTGTTAAATCTTTTTTAATTTGAATTTCTTTTTCTTCATTTGTATTTGTTAAAATTCTTGAACGAATTTCATTTAAATCATTTCGTGTTGTTGTTGGCATATCTGATTGTTTTGTATAACGATTTGTATTTGTTGAAAATATTTCACCTGATGAAATATTTGTTGTACAAAATGGTGTTGCTTTATGTTCATGTCGAATTATAGTTGGTTCATCATTTTGAAAATCATATGAATTTCTTAAACCATATGACATTGTATTATGATGTAATTCTGTTTTTGTTGATGAACGTTGTGGTGAATACGAATGTGTTATTGTTTGTTCAGATTTTGGTTTTGTATTTGAAACATTTGGATAATAAATTGATAAATTATGTTTATTTTTATTTTCAATATCAACACGAGTTAATGCTGTACGTGGTTCTTGTACATCTTGTGTATATAAACGTCCAGGTGATGATGTTATATCATTATCTGCAGTTCTAAAAGATTTTTTTTTTTAAAAGGAGTAATGAATAAGAAAAAGTTATTGACAGTTTTCATGAGAAACTTTCTATCATCAACTTATCAAATATATGTTACGATCTATGGAAACAAAAACAACTAAGAAACAGATCATACAAAAAATTCTAGTTTTCGGATTCAGACGATTTTCATCCATGGTATGCTGAAGATAGGGTTGTCGAAAAAGCTTCGTTCGCCTGTGACTGTTGTCACCGGTAACATTGCATTGAACATGAATTACGTAAATCTTTTTTTTGCTGAGTTCCATACTTATTAATTATCCAACAGAACGAGTACAGATGAACTGTTAACATGACCGTTGGTTATTTCATTGTTAAACTCTATACAAACGCTCATTAGCTGTGAGACAGAAGTAGAAGTCATATCGAACAAGAGAAAGAATATTTCATACCAGTCATAAGGATTCTCTATCAAGATTGCTAAGTCCGAAGATTTCAACAAATTTGCTTTGAACGATGGTCTGCTGAAAAGCAACTTTTCGGCTTTCATTCGAAGTTTTTGGAAAACAATTTTATTTGATAGAGCAAAGGATTCTGAACAAAATTAGACGTCTTCAATATCTCATATTGGCTTATCAAACAAAATCTTTTTCCAAAAGCTTCGAATAGAAATCAGAAATCTAGTTTTGGTGATTTTGGTTTTTCGAAGATCATCATCCAAAGAGTTTTGTTGGAATCTTCGAGCTTACCAATTTTAATAGCAAATTCTTGCAGCTACGCAAAGATTTTTTCAGATTTCTGCTAGTTATTAACATCAAGAAGAGAACTTAAAAATAGTAAGAAATGCATACTATTTGTCTATGTAAATCTCATAGAAATACAAAGATATTTAGGATATAGAATAAATAAATTTCAAAGGAGGAGGTGATCGCCTTCAACGTGGATCCGTCACTGATATTCTTGATATTTATATTTACCGCGTTATTGAACTACGTATAGTACGTGATGGTGTTTTTGATATTGGTATTTCTGTTTCTATTTCATCTTCTTTTCCTTTAAAAAAAAATAACACAAATGAAATATTTTTTTTTCTTAGAAAGTTACAAATAATTCATTTTTACCTTCACTTGTTTCATTTGTTAATACTTCAAGTAATTTACGTTGATAAATTGATCGAGTATGATCTAAAAAATATATCTTTAATAAAAAAAAGAAAAGAAAATTTTCTTTTTCTCTTACTTGTTACAGGTCCAACTGCAAGACCATGTTCAGTTAGACTCTTACGAAGAGCAAGATCATTTAATTTTGCGACATTGACACCTTTATTTTTGCACAGTCTAATGAATAAAAATCATAAAAATAAAGATAAAAACAAAAAGAAATAAATTTTCTTACTAATGAATGAAGACGTATTATATTTGACAATGTATCTTTTGATGGAAAAGGTCCAATTTCATAACCAATTTCTTTTAATTTACGTTGTAAATCTACTTTATTCGACGTGTTTAATTTTAGAAATGATCCAGACGAACAAAAAAGAGTTCAAGCTTTATATTTTTCTCCGTATTTTTTTTGTAAATGAACAAATCAAATAATTACCACACAAATTTATGACTCATTTTTATCAAAATCCAATCAGAAAAAATGATGAGTCATATGACATTGACTCGATGTATTCAATGATAATACTTTCTAATATTTTCGATTTATTATCTTCAATCTTGTTCCAATTGAACGAACATCTTTTACTGAATAATTCTTAGAAAATATTTTTTTAAAAATTTAAATAATTATAAACAAACTGATACATATAAATTATCGAATAAAAAAAAAACCCTATCTTTATGAAATATTAGTTGATTGTGATTTATTTGTACCAATTTATATTGAATCAGAACGAAATTCTGAATTAAATGAATGTATTGAAAAATTAAAAGTTGAACAAGCTAATCGTGAATATGATGAAATGACAAAAAATATGTTAATTTAAATAGATTATATTTAAATAAATCTTGAGATTCAATTAGACTTGATATGAAATCTATACAAGAACAATTAATAACTGTTGTAAATGTTTTTTTTAACTGTCGGTGGAGCATTTGTATTTGTTTATAAAGCAATTGAGTATTCAATTGGAGCAAAAAAATTTTATTTTACAAATATCATGTGGACTTTTCTGTGCATTCATTGTTGTTATTACTGATTTATATTTCCTTTTTAAATGTTTAAATAAACTTGAATAAGAAAAATAAAAATATTATATTAAATTGAACATGAAAATAAGTTCAATATTTGTTGTTTTTACTAAATAGATTCTAGACAGAAAAATTATAGACATAACATTTAATCAAAATGTGACTTA